AAAAATTTTAATGTCAAAAAAGTCAAATTGCACCTCAAAATCAAAAATCTATACACTTTTTTTGTCATTTTCAGCGATTTTCAGCCAAAAAAAATTGGGGAAATGGCAACATTTTCTAGTCGAAACCCATAATTTGAATATAGTTTTCCTTTTTAGGAGAAAAATTCTATAAATCTAAAAAAATAAATTTTGAAAAACTAGCAAAAATCGGGGAATGAAAATCTGATTTTTTTTTCTGAAATTTCTAGAAATTGGCGGCAGGGAAAAACTTCATTTTTCGAAAAGTAAAAAGTTTCAAAAGTTCGTTGAAAAATAGAAAAAAAAGAGATCAGGAATACCGTAAACACTCTAATATCACGCCACCCGAATCGTCAAATTTGAGCCTATATATCTCATTTTCTATGAGAGATATCAAAAAGTGGTTGACTAATAAAACAGTGCTGATATCATGATAAACATTTCATCAGTTGATTACTTTTTGATATCTTTCAAAAGAAGTGAAGTATATATGCTCAAAGTAGACGGTCAGGATGTCTATTAGAGGTTTTACGGTAATTTGTGTATAGCGGTTATTCTGAGTTCTGAAATTTTAAAATAAATCTTAAATTTCTAGAAATTGGCGGCAGGGAAAAGCTTCATTTTTTGAAAAGTAAAAAGTTTCAAAAGTTCGTTGAAAAATGGAAAAAAATGGACAAATCAATTTGGGGACAAAGTAAAAGAGAGATCAAAAATATATAATTTGTTTTGGGCAGAAAATACCGTAAAACCTGTAGTACAAGGGCCTTTCTTTTACAGGGGGGCCCTTCAATTAGAGTTAGCCCTTCTATTTTTCGGTCCAGTTTTTTTCCGAAAATTTGCATTGAAAAATTCGATGAAGTTTCGTTCGAAATTCATGGAAATCTGCCAATTTGACCAAAATTTAGCAAGATTTTTATCGAAAAATCGAGTTTCAACAAATTTCTATTAAATTGTGGAGTTCCCGGAATATTTTTCACTTAAAAAGTACGGAAACTTTCATATTTCAATACACATTTTGAAGGGGGCCCTTCTAATACAGGTTTTACGGTAGTGCAGAAATAAATTTTAAAAAAGCTTAAGAAAAGAAAATTGAAAGATTTCAGGCAGAAATTTTGAATGATTTGAAATTCAAAAATTCGAAAAATTGGAATTTT